GCAGACCCCGTTTGTCAGGGTCCAAGCTAGTTCTACTCTGCGCTAAACGAGAGTTGCTAGTAAAAGGAAGGGGGTGGAGGGGATTTCTCCCGGGCACTCGGTCAAAGCCAGGCCACAACGGGCTGCTTACCAACGGAGAAGTCATAGCGCACACAGCTGGATTTCTCCATCTATGGAAGAGACAGAGAGGGATGAGTCCAAAGTAGCCATTTCTATCAATGCCTTGTGATCCGTGAGATAAGGGCTCCAGGCACGGATCGCTGTGTGCTTCACAAACATCACTTCTAGGGCTGTCAAGCCATTAATCACTCTGTTAAACAATAATAGAATACCATTTATTTAAATATTTTTGGATGTTTTCTACATTTTCAAAACATTTATTTCAAGTACAACACAGAATACAAAGTGTACAGTGCTCACTTCATATTTATTTTTATTACAAATATCTGCACATAAAAAAACAAAAGAAATAGTATTTTTCAATTCACCTCATACAAGTACCACAATGCAATCTCTTTGTTATGAAAGTGCAACTTACAAATGTTGGTTTTTTTGTTACATAACTGCACTCAAAAACAAAACAATGTAAAACTTCAGAGCCTACAAGTCCACTCAGTCCTACTTCTTGTTCAGCCAATCACTCAGACAAACAAGTTTGTTTACATTTGCAGGAGATAATGCTGCCCACTTCTTGTCCACAATGTCATCTGAAAGAGAGAACAGGCGTTCGCGTGGCACTGTTGCAGCCGGCCTTGCAAGATATTTACGTGCCAGATGCGCTAAAGAGTCATGTGCCCCTTCATGCTTCAACCACCATCCCAGGGGACATGCGTCCATGCTGATGACGGGTTCTGCTCGATAACTATCCAAAGCAGTGCGGACCAACACATGTTCATTTTCATCATCCGAGTCAGATGCCACAAGCAGGAGGTTGATTTTCCTTTTTGGTGGTTCAGGTTCTGTAGTTTCCGCACCAGAGTGTTGCTCTTTTAAGACTTCTGAAAGCTCCACACCTCGTCCCTCTCAGATTTTGGAAGGCACTTCAGATTCTTAAACCTTGGGTCAAGTGCTGTAGTTATCTTTAGAAATCTCACATTGGTACCTTCTTTGTGTTTTGTCAAATCTGCAGGGAAAGTGTTCTTAAAACAAACATGTGCTGGGCCATCATCCAAGACTGCTATAACATGAAATAGATGGCAGAGTGCGGGTAAAAGAGCCGGAGACATACAATTCTCCCGCAAGGAGTTCAGTCACAAATTTAATGAACGCATTTTTTTTTTTAAACAAGCATCATCAGCAAGGAAGCATGTCCTCTGGAATGGTGGCCGAAGCATGCAGGGCATACAAATGTTTAGCATATCTGGCACGTAAATATCTTGCAATGCCAGCTACAAAAGTGCCATGCGAACGCCTGTTCTCACGTTCAGGTGATATTGTAAATAAGAAGCAGGCAGAATTATTTCCCGTAAATGTAAACAAACTTATTTGTCTTAGCGACTGGCTGAACAAGAAGTAGGACTGAGTGGACTTGTAGGCTCTAGAGTTTTACATTATTTTGTTTTTGAATGCAGGTTTTTTTGTACATAGTTCTACATTTGGGGGGAGGGATAGCTCAGTGGTTTGAGCATTGGCCTGCTAAACCCAGGGTTGTGAGTTCAATCCTTGAGGGGGCCACTTAGGGATCTGGGGCAAAATCAGTACTTGGTCCTGCTAATGAAGGCAGGGGGCTGGACTCAATGACCTTTCAAGGTCCCTTCCAGCTCTAGGAGATAGGATATCTCCATTAAAATGTAAAAAATTTGTAAGTTTAACTTTCATGATAAAGAGATTGCACTACAGTACTTGTATGAGGTGAACTGAAAAATACTATTTCTTTTGTTTATCATTTTTACAGTGCAAATATTTCTAATAAAAAATAATAATATATAGTGAGCACTGTACACTTTGTATTCTGTGCTGTAATTGAAATCAATATATTTGAAAATGTAGAAAAACATCCAAAACTATTTAATAACTTTCAATTAGTATTCTATTGTTTAACAGTGCGATTAAAATTGCGATTAATCATGATTAATTTTTTTAATCGCAATTAATTTTTTAAGTTAATCACGTGAGTTAACTGCGATTAATCGACAGCCTTAATCATCTCCCTGTAAGATATTGTCCTGACTTTATGGATGGGGAAACCGAGGCAGAGCAGGGCTCAGTGACTTTGCACCTGGATATTACGGGGGTTGGTGCCCTAAAAGCCTAAAGCTTAGCTCAAATTAGAGAAAATAAATTCTATTACTTCAGCTTTGCCCAGGCCACACAGCAAACCATCAGCATGGCGTGAAAGAGAACCCAGGCGTCCTGGCTGCCAGCCTCTTGCTCTAACCATTAGACACACTCCCCGCACTGTCTCGGCCTGTGGATGGGCTCCCAAGGGCAAGTGTTGGAAGCCCCATCTCAGGAGTTAGCTTTGGGCTGGACAAATCCTAACAAAACGGACCAGTGGAGCTTGGGGGGTGGGCGAAGCATGGACCAGATGTGGCCCAACAGGCCGTTCTCAGCCTCCACAGTGCGAAGGGGCGCGAGCAGTATCCCGCCCACAGGGGCCATCCCGCTGCACTGCTTGGAGACGGGCATGGGGTGGGCAGCCAGGTCCTTCCCGTCTCTGATACCCCAGTCTCGCCTGCCACCGCCCAGCCTGCCCACTGCAGCATGGGCAGCCCTGAGCGAAGCCGCTCCTGGCCTGGGAGAAGCCGAAGCCCAGGGGAGCGGTCAGCGTGCCAGGGGAATCGAGAGCTACCTGGTTCCAGCGGCTGACGACGCGGACGAAGGCCGTGTAGTTCCTGTGGGGGCGGAGGGGAGCATTGTAGTACCCGTAGTGACGGGTCCCGTCACCCAGCACAAAGTCAGTCGGGCCTGTGAGGCTGTGCGCGGGGAGCACGGCAGCCAGGTACACGTCGTGCTCCAGGCTGGAGTTGAACGGCTGCAGACCTGGTGAGCGGCAGGCGTCTGCTTCGCTGCCATTCTGCAGCGCAGATACAATGATCTGATACTCCCTGCAAGGGAGGAGTTAGCCAGATGGGGGGTGATGGGGAACTGAACGGGGCAGGGGCGGGGTGTGACGAAGTGGGACTGTTCTTAATGTTTCCTCTGAATACTGTATGGGTGCCTCAGTTTCCCCTATGCATTTCTTAAGTCTCTAGGTGGTGGGGAAAGGCCAGTGTGTATGAATCACTGACACACTGTCTCCCTGGCAACAAATGGCCAGGGCCCCTTCCCCCCCCCACCCCCTTCAAGGAAATAGCTAAAGGTGAACAAAGAGATCAGGTGACCTCCTGGCCCAGGAAAGAGACAAAGCCCAGAGAAGGAGGGGCTGGAGGGGGTTTTCAGAGTTGGAGCTGGCTGGGGACGAGGAGTGAGGGCAGACGGGGTTGTCTGGCTCTCTGAACCCCAGAATGGACCCAGCGGAGGGGTCCCGTTCGCCGCTGTACCTACAAGCTCTGTTTTAGACCGTGTTCCTGTCATCTAATAAACCTCTGTGTTACTGGCTGGCTAAGAGTCATGTCTGACTGGGAAGTGGGGGTGCGTGCAGGTCTTCTGGCTTCCCCAGGACCCACCCTGGGCGGACTCGCTGTGGGAAGCACACGGAGGGGCATATGCTGAATGCTCCCAGGAGAGACCCAGGAGGTGAAGACGTGTGAGCTTCTTGCCCTGAAGACAGTCTGCTCCAAGGGAGAGGAGGCTCCCCAAAGTCCTGACTGGCTTTGTGGGGAGCAGTTCCAGAGCATCGCCCGGGGACTCCGTGACAAGGGGTTAGCCAGACGGGGGGTGATGGGGAACTGAACGGGGCAGGGGAGGGGTTAGCCAGACGGGGGCCGAGGGGGGATGGGGGAACGGAACGGGGCAGGGGAGGGGTTAGCTGAATGGGGGCTGGGGGGAACAGGGGAACTGAACAGGGCAGGGGAGGGGTTAGCCGGATGGGGGCTGAGGAGTGATGCGGGAAACGCAGGGTGATTGTCAGGGGAAATTCCTGCCGCAGGCTGGGCCAGGCTGGGGAACCCTCTGGGAACGGGGGAGCCCATCGCTGGGTGTTTATCACCAGACTGGACAAAGCCGTGGAGAACAAACCTCCCCATCCCATCCCCCTACTGCTAGTCACCCCACCCGCGGGGGCTGCTCGGAGGTTTCGGTGAAAGCTCCGTGGGGAAGGGGCCTGGGCGTCCCGTTCCCTCTGGGAAGTGCCCAGCACCCCTTTGGGTGCTATACGATACACACATACTAATAATGAGCGGCAGCACCTCCTGACACCTTCCAGCCACATGACCACAGCCGGGGGGGCTGGCGCCCAGGCCGGGGTGGGCTAAGCACACCCCCGGGCGTGGTGACGTGCTGTGCGCGGCTGAGCCTCTGGCTGCAAAGACCCCTCGCTGATTCCAGGGGGTGTTTTCCTGCAGGTAGCAGCAATACTCCCTGCTGAGCTGCGCTTACCTGATGGGTCCATGGAGCTCAGGGAAGGGCTGCAGGGGGAGCAGAGCCGTCCCGCTCGACGGGGAGATGCTGTAGACGCTCAAAGCGGTGACGTTGGCGGGGATGTCCGGCTCTGAAGGGATTAACCAAAGGGCAAAGCGTCAGCGGGCAACATCGCACGCTGTCTGGGGAGACAGGAAGGGCCCCTCTGACAGCCAGAGGCACAGAACTGTCCTGTCTGCACCGGCCCATTTTGGGGGTCCTGCCAGGCCTGGCTCAGGAACACTGCCAGGCTGTCTGGGCATAAACCCCCCTGCTCCTGCCGTGCTGTGCCTGTCCCGGGGTGAAGGGAGTGCACAGCATGGAGGTGAGCGCCACGCCGCACCCGGCTCAGCTGGGCACGCTGGGCCTGTGCTCTCCTGGGACACAGCACTGGGGGAAAGGAGAGGGGCCGGGAGCCAGACCAGAGAGATCTGGGAGTGGCTTTTGGTCCGTGCCCTGGTCCTCGGCCCCCTCAGACTCATCCTAGAGCAGGGACGTTGTAACAATGCTGCCTCTGATGGGACACAACTGGGAGGATCAATTCAGGACAAACCGCTCAGAGCAGGATAGTTACAGGCCCAGGCTGGTGGTTTTCCACCTCTAAGGCACCAAACCAGCCAGCCAGAGAGGACTTCGGTCTCACCCCACTGGCTAACCAGAAGTCACACAAGCAATTCCCTAAGACACTCCAGAAGTAAGAAGCAGGATTGAAGACAAGATGAAGGAGATGCAGCAGCCTTTTCTAGTCCTTTTGCCATGTGGCTTGTGCTTCCTTTGTTCCAAAGACAAGCTACCCAGCACATGGCCTGGAAAAACCTCACAGTTCTGTCCATAGGCCTGTCCCTGCCTTGCTGAGTCACAAGGCGTATCTGCCGTCTCTCAATGGGTCAGTTGTGTAGCTGATAATGGTCCTTAATGGGCCATCCAGCAGGCTAGCAATGCTGATGCCAAATTGTCTGGGGTGTCACTGTGACAGGTTCTCTGCCCTGCCCCTCTCCCAGAGCCTGCTGGCTGTCCCAATAAAGTGCAGAGAGGTTTCCAGCTATGCAGCACCTGTGGCTTTATTCACACACACAGTTCTCCCACCACCAATGTTGAGCTATATACAAGGCTTACAGGGTTAGTTCCCTCTTTCTAAGCAATCAGCCCACAGCTCGGAGACTGACCTTTCCCTGGCTGGGCTTTTCTTCTGGCTCCCAGCCCTTGTAACTGCTGGCTTGTCAGGCCCGCAGGTGGAGCCAATCCGCAGGCCAGGCATCAGGTCTGTCTCACCAGCCCCAATCTATTTCTCTTGATTGGAGCTGGCTGAGCAGGGGTAATTAGGTGCTTTTGCACCAGCACCCTGCTACAGTCCCCCAGAAGCACAGCACAAGTTTGAAATACAGACAGGATAGAGCCAATACTTATAACTTTAAATACAAAAATGATCCATGCATCCAGATAGCATAATCATTACCAGCAAATCATAACCTCCTCATAGACACCTTACTTGACTTTCTTTGTACAAGATTTGGTACCACTATATGACCTTGGTTGCAACAGTGATCTATACAGTCACAGTTCATGTCAATAACGTCACAGAGGCCCTTACCAGAGATGTTGGTTTCAAAGTCCCAGCGCGACACCTGCCCAAGGCCGGCAGCCGTGAGGCCCTGGATTGTCACCGAGTAGTTAGTCCCGTTTCTCCAGGGCTGCAGCAGGTACTTGGTGACCAACTGATTCACCCGCGGCTCCTCGACCTCGAGGAAATCGCTGTCGTACTCTCTCCTGGCCGTGATGTTCAGCTAGGGAAAGGAACGCGGCTCTGGAGAGGAGCCGTTCTGACCCCCAGCCCCGCCTGATACACAGGACACAAGCCCCACGCTGCTGGGCATTGCCTGAGCCCCCCTGTGCAAGCAGGGACTTCACCCCCCTCCCCCCCCAGCACGGCAGAGCTGCCCACCCCAGCAGCACCGGGGAATTTCTCCTTCCTCTGCGGGAGCCGGCACGGCCATCTGGGCAGCAGGACGGGCACTGCTCAGGTAGGTGAATGCCCAGGGCCGCTCCCATCACAGGGGTCCCCCATTTGTCAGTGTCCCTGGGGAAGTGCTGGGCTGGACCGGGGTCAATGTTACTCAGGGGCCGCTGGCCTGGAACCCTCCCGCACCAGCTCTGGCTCGGTGCTGTTATCGGTTTCGCTGTGTTTAGCTGAGCCCCTCCAGCACCCCAGGCCCAGCCCCTGAAGAGCCTGCCACAGCCCCACAGGTGCTGATGGGGCCAAGTGCAAACAGAGCGCTGCTGAACAGGTGCTTGTCTTTCAGTTCAGAATACAGTGCCCGACACAGGTCCCAAGCTCGCCCGGCCAGCCAGCGGCACATACCGAAACGCCCACACCCCGGCCCTGGCTGTACCCAGCCCACGGGAAGAAAAGAGCCGGGACTGTTGTGGACTGGAGGTAGGAGGGGATTCCAGAGCCAGAGGGCCCTGCCAGAGAACATCCTGCCAGCGCCGCCTGCTGTTACACCAGGGGCTCTAGCTCGGCCGGTCAGCAGAGATGAAAACCCAGAGCCAAGCGTCACCTGCAGGCTGCCTGCTCCCTCGCCCCCACCAGCCTCCTGGGGAGGCAGGCAGGGAACCCCACCCGAGTGCCCCTGGGCTACGAGCCATTTACCCCAGGATCTGCTAGGAGAGATGGCCCCTTGGCAGCGACCAAGGCCTAACCCAGACAGGGATTACAGGTGAAAAACAACTCCCTGGTTCGCAGCAAAGACTAACAGGTGAGAGCCCAGAGCACAGGGGCACGGCGCCGCATGCTGCGCCAGGCAGGAGCCAGGTCAGAGCCCGCAGCACAGGGCCACGGAGCCGCATGCTGCGCCAGGCAGGATCTGGGTGTGACGTTGCAGTCTATATGGTTTTATAAAAATATGCTAATGAGTGGGAATATAATGTAACTAGAATATGCTTCATGCAAAAGGTCTCTTGTAAGGTATCATTACAAAGCTTATAATCTACTGAGCGTGCTCATCCTATTTGTATAAATGTACCACTCTTGTATCTGAAACTAGAAATATGAAATATAACTCCGAGGGCCTATTGTAATTATGCAAATTGTGTGGGCCATTAATGGTGGTTTGGAATCTTGATGGCTCCGGTCAACCAGGACAATTGTCTGTAGATGGCTGTGTTTTACTTGCAAGTCTTCCTGTATACGTATGTGCTGGCAAGTGGGTAATGAAGTCTTGCAGTGACATGTGATCATGTCACCTGAACTGGAATCCATCTTTAACCTGGTGCTTTTCTATTGAGAAGGAGGGGATGGGAACCCAGAGAGGGACAAAGGATTCCCACCTTATGCAAAAGATATATAAGGGGGTGGAACAGAACAAAGGGGGCTGCAGTTATAAGAAATCCCCTAACTACCACCTGAGCTGGAACAAGGGCTGTACTGGGGAAAGGATTGGGCCCAGACTAGGAAGGCGTCCAGTCTGTGATAGAAGCTTATTGGAACATCTCTGAGGGTGAGATTTACCTGTATTCAGTTTTCTTATTGTATTAGGCTTAGACTTCGGTGTTTGTTCTGTCTGTTATTACTTGGAACCACTTAAATCCTACTTTTTATATTTAATAAAATCACTTTTTACTTATCAATTAACCCAGAGTATGTATTAATACGGGGGAGGGCAGACAGCTGTGCATATCTCTCTATCAGTGTAATAGAGGGCGAACAATTTATGAGTTTACCCTGTATGCATTTTATACAGAGTAAAACAGGTTTATTTGGGGTTTGGACCCCACTGGGAGTTGGGCATCTGAGTGCTGGAGACAGGAACACGTCTTAAGCTGTTTTCAGTTAAGCCTGCAGCTTGTGGGGGACGTGGTTCAGACCTGGGGCTGTGTTTGCAGCAAGCAAGCGTGTGTGGCTCAAACCAGGCAAGGGACTGAAGTCCCGAGCTGGCAAGGAAAACAGGCTCAGAGGTAATCTAGGCACATCGGGTGGCAGTTCCCAAAGGGGTTTCTGTGACCCAACCCGTCACACTGGGTCAGAGCCCCCAGCACAGGGGCATGGAGGTGTGACGAACTGGGACTGTTCGTAATGTGGTCTTTGAATGCTGAATGGGGAGTGCTGGCTGGGAAGACAGGGGAGTGTGGCTAGGATGGTCTGCATTGGGGGATGGGAGACTGGCTGTGAGGTAGAATACCTGAGCATGTAACATGAGACCCCAGGAAGGGGTTAGAGGCCAGGTGACACCTTTGCCCGGGAAACTGAAAAAGGCTAGAGAGAGAGTTCAGAGCTGGCTGGTGGAATGGCTGGGAGGCAGACGGGGCTCTGACCCCCCCAAGGGGGCTGTGGTGGCCTGGGACCCCAAGATGCACCTAATTGGGGGGGTCCAGTTGTCTGTGCCTGCAAGACCTGTCTTGGACTGTGTTCCTGTCGTCTAAATAAACCTTCTGCTTTACTGGCTGGCTGAGAGTCATGTTGAATCGCAGGAAGCCAGGGGTGCAGGGCCTTGTGTCCCCCCACACTCCGTGACAGGAGCCACATGCTGCGCCAGGCAGGAGCCGGGTCAGAGCCCGCAGCGCAGGGGCACGGAGCCGCATGCTGCGCCAGGCAGGAGCCGGGTCAGAGCCCGCAGCGCAGGGGCATGCAGCAAGATGTATGCAATGCTGCAGACAGGAGGGATTGAGTAGTTTTAATCTCCCAACTGGCCATAAAGGGGGAGGGCTCAGGGAGGGCCAGGGAGGAGCTGGAGAGTGGGGGCGAGGTGCTCCTCGCTCTGGGGCAGGGCTCGGCGCTCCGGGAGGGGCAGCAGAGATGGATAATGATACCTGGACGATGCCCCCTGATGCTCCCTCCCTCTCTCGCTGTCCCTGCCCACTCAGACCGTGCCCTGGGCTGAGACGCCCTCCAGAGGCTGCCCAGCGAGTCGCTTGCCCGGGTACCTGGTACCCGACGATCGCCCCTTTGCAGGGCGGCAGCGGCTTCCACCTGAGGGTTTTGGTGCTGGGATCCAGCGGCTCGATCTTGGGTTGGTCTGGGGCTGAAAGCGAAGGAATCGCAGGTCACTGACCGGGCCCGGGGACGAGTCCCCGTGTGCAAAGCACTGGGATGGGGCTCCCAGCACAGGGGTCAGCACTCTGGGTGGTCCCTGCAGCAGGAGGGCGAGGGCTAGGCCCTGCCACCTCTCCTGGGCGGTGCTGCCTGGCTGGGCACGAGGAGCCGGCAGCGTCCTACAGCTCCTCCCCGGCAGCCCCCGGCAGCAGAGACACAGAGCCCCTGTCCCTGCTCCAGCTGCACGAGGGGCTCAGACACCACCGTGAGGGGCTTGGTGACTGGACTGGACTGGACGGACGGATTGCTGGGAAGGTGGGCAGCCGACCAGCTGGGCTAGGACAGCTAGTGAGTCCTCTCCCAACCATCCCACTCCTGGGCCTTCAGAGCCCCGAACTCCCCGTGGGATCCACCCCCCCGAGGCTCAGGTTCCAGGCTCACCCCACAGGCCGGTCTGGGGAGATGGGGAGGGAGATGGGGTTGGGGGACTCTGTTTGCTCTGGGGAGCCCCACACCCCTTTCTCCTGAGCCCCCCCTTCCGCCCCCAGGCAGGGCCCCAATCACCAGCTAAGCCTGGTCACTTGCTCGGACAGGCGGGTTGAGTTGCAGAGCGACAGGGGCCCGTCTGCCCCCGTGCTCAGCACCGACCCCAGAATTCACAGCCACGGGGTGACTCCCCCCTCCCCTACCTGCTTCACTCGTGGTGACCCGCCGGGTATAAAGGACAGTGCTGGGTGGGCTGGTCGCTGGGTAGCCCCCAGAGATGGTGACACTGTAGGAGGTGAAGGGGTGCAGGGAGCTGCACGTTACTGTTCCGTCCCGTCCCTGTAACGGCTGCTCTCTGGTGAGCCCTTGTCTCCGGCAGGAGCCCGACCAGGGTCCAACCAGCCGGCATTGGGCCCGTATCTTCCAGCTGCCCTGGCAGGATTCGGGGGGCTCACAAGTCCAGCGCAGTTTGATGGTGGTGGGTGAAACCTCCAGGGCCCCTGGGATGATCCGGGGGGTCTCTAGAGAATAAGCACCAGCATGAGGGTTACTTTCCTGCCCCTTCCGGACGCACAGAGCTCTGCAAAGGCTTCCAGTCAAACAGCCCCTGTTCCCCACACACAGCGGGGTGAAGGGCCAAACCCTCCAACCTCTGAGCTCTGTGGGTGGAAGGCACCACAGAGGACACAGGATTACCATCAGCATCGCCTAACTGAGCCCGGGGGGGTTCTGATCCAAGCCTGATTTCCTGTTCTTCCTGGCAAACACCCCCCGTGCTCCCGTGGGTACCTCCATCGCTCGGCAGCCAAGCAGGACACAGCCCTTTGAGGGAGCTGGGATCTGGAGCTCCCTGCCCCAGGGGACATGCAGGCTGCAGCGAGACAGGGACGCAGCCCATGGAGACCACAGGTGCCAGCATGCCTTGCGCCATGTGGTCCCGAGCAGCAGCAGAGTGCATGCTGGGATTGGAGTCTCCCTGGGCCATGCCTCTCTGTTAATAATCAGGGCGCATTTAATTAACGCATTTTATTTCTATTTCATCTCTAGTTGCTGTGAATTAGGTGCAGCCCCCGGGCTTCCAGCCAGCCCCCACCGTGCCCTGGCTGGGCCAGGTCTGAGAGTGCAGGAGGGGGTGCTTGCGTGAAGGCCACAGACGATGCCAACCACACGGCTCCCCTGCCGCCCACACAACAGTAACATCCCTCGGGGCGCCAGCCGCACAGTGAGGGGTTCCGGGTCTAAGCCCCGGGTGTCCCGCTAGGGACCCGGTGACTCCCCTCTGGGCTGCATGGGACCTGTTAGTGCAACTGACCCCAGACGCTGGGCCCAGCCCTGGCTGGCCACACACAGGAGATTCCGTCCAGGGATCAAACTGGTTCAGCTCCGAGGGTTTAGAACTGCAGCTGGGAACCGGTGCAGGCGAGGGGCCTCCCAGCCACGCCCCCGTCCTCCGGCTCTGCCCCGCCCCTGCCCTGCCGCCGGGAGGGCACTGGAACTGAGCCCTCTGTGCTGGCTCTGCTCCCCGGGATGGGCCCCTCGCAGCATGCGACGCTCTTGGGGCTGGTGATACCAGACACCTCTGTGTTCTTGGGGAACCAGAGTGCACTATCCAGCCTGACTCATGAAAGACACCCCCCACCCCCAGCTTCTGCTTAAACCAAAACCCATCAGAGGAAAAAACTTGCAGAGAGCAGTGAAGGGTGTTGGGAGACACACCTACACCCGTCCTGACAAGGGTGACAAGATTAAGACATCCTGTCGCGGAGTGTGGTGGAGTCAGGGCCCTGCACCCCTCTTCCTGAGATTCACTGTGACTCTCAACCAGCCAGTAAAACAGAAGGTTTATTAGATGACAGGAACACAGTCTCAAGCAGAGGGTACGACCAGAACCCCTCAATTAGGTCCTTCTGGGAGGTTCAGGGAGCTTAGACCCCAGCTTGGGGTTCCCTGCGTTGCACCACCCAGCCCAAAACTGAGAAAAACTCCTCACTCTTCCAGCAGCTCCTCTCTTCCCCCTCCCCCCAGCTCCTCCTCTCCTTTGTTCAGTCTCGGGGCAGAAGGTGTCACTTCTCCCACCCCCCCTCCTGGCTCAGGTTACAGCTCAGGTAGCTTCCTTCAAGGGAAATCCCCCATCCCCAATGTAACCCCCCTGCAACATTCCCAGGTCAAATCTGACCCGCTCCCTGCTCCGTCACATCTCTCCCCCCTTGGAGACTGAACTGAGCGGGGTCACTCTGCCCAGTGACCTGGGGAAGTTCAGGGCCCCTCTCCAGGACAACGCATCCGCTATCAGGTTGTCACTTCCCTTCACATGGACCACGTCCATGTCATAATCCTGCAGGAGCAGGCTCCACCTCAGGAGCTTGGCGTTGGCTCCTTTCATCTGGTGTAGCCAGGTCAGGGGAGAGTGGTCGGTGTGCACGGTGAAGTGTCGCCCAAAGAGATATGGCTCTAGTTTCTTAAGGGCCCACACCATGGCCAGGCATTCCTTCTCGATGGCCGCGTAGTTCTGCTCCCGGAGTAGCAACTTTTTGCTCAGGTACATGATGGGGTGTCTCTCCCCCTTTTCATCCTCCTGCATTAACACCGCCCCCAGTCCCGTGTCTGAGGCGTCGGTGAACACCATAAAGGGCTTGTCAAAGTCTGGGTTTGCCAGAACTGGGCCACTGACCAGAGCCTCCTTCAGCGCCCGGAGAGCCTTCTGGCACTCCTCGGTCCAGACCACCTTGTCTGGCTTCCCCTTCTTGCACAGCTCAGTGATGGGGGCGGCTATGGAGCTAAAGTGGGGCACGAACCTTCGATAGTACCCTGCCATCCCAATAAAGGCTTGGACCTGCTTTTTGGTTTGCGGAGCGGGCCAGTCTCTGATCCCCTCCACTTTGGCTGGTTCCGGCTTTAGGCAGCCGCTCCCCCCCCGGTGGCCTAGGTAGGATACCTCAGCCATCCCCACCTTGCACTTCTCCGGTTTTACGGTCAGCCCAGCCTCCTGGAGTCGGTCCAGCACTTGTCTAACCTGGGACACGTGGTCCTCCCAGGTCTGGCTAAAGACACAGATGTCGTCAATATACGCCACAGCAAAACTCTCCATCCCCCTCAGTAGCTGATCCACCAGGCGCTGGAAGGTGGCCGGCGCTCCCTTGAGGCCGAAAGGCAGGGTCAGGAACTCATAGAGCCCCAGAGGGGTGATAAAGGCCGATTTCAGCCTGGCATCTGCATCCAGCGGCACTTGCCAGTAGCCCTTTGTAAGATCCATGGTGGTAAGGTACCGAGCGCCTCCCAGCTTGTCTAGGAGCTCGTCAGGCTGGGCATGGGGTAGGCATCGGCTACAGTGATGGCATTGAGCTTCCGATAGTCCACACAGAACCGGATCGACCCGTCCTTTTTGGGGACCAGCACCACCGGCGAGGCCCAAGGACTGGAAGATGGCTGGATCACCCCCAAAGCCAGCATGTCCCTGACCTCTCTTTCCAGGTCCTGAGCAGTTTTCCCTGTGCCTCGGAAGGGGGGGCATTTTATAGGCAGGTGCGATCCTGTCTGCACCCGGTGGACAGTCAGATTAGTGCGTCCAGGCTGATTGGAAAACAGCTGTCGGTACAGATGCAGCACCCCTCCGATCTCAGCTTGCTGGGTAGGGGTTAGCTGAGCAGAGAGGGGAATTGCTTCCAGGGGGGAACCAGCTCTTGTCCCAGGGAATAGATCTACTAAATGGTCATCTCCCTGCTCCTCCCAATGTCCACACACAGCCAACACCACATTCCCCCTGTCATAATATGGCTTCATCATATTCACATGGTACACCCGGCGGTGGTGCGCCCGGTTCGACAGCTCCACCACATAGTTTACCTCATTTAGTTGCTTGACAACCTTGAAGGGCCCTTCCCATGCGGCCTGGAGTTTGTTTTTCCTCACGGGGATGAGGACCATCACCTGATCCCCAGTGGTGAAGGCGCGGGCCCGTGCTGTGCGGTCATACCAGACCTTCTGCTTCCTCTGGGCTCGGGCCAGATTCTCCCTGGCCAGGCCCATGAGCTCGGCAAGTCTTTCCCGGAAGGTCAGGACATACTCCACCACCGACTCTCCATCGGGAGTGGCCTTCCGCTCCCATTAGTCTCTCATCAGGTCCAGGGGCCCCCTTACCCGCCTTCCATATAACAGTTCGAAGGGCGAAAACCCGGTAGACTCCTGGGGTACCTCCCTGTACACGAACAGCAGGTGAGGTAAGTACTTGTCCCAGTCCTGCGGGTGCTGGTTCATAAATGTTTTTAGCATCATATTTAGTGTCCCGTTGAACCTCTCCACCAGCCCGTTGGATTGGGGGTGATACGCTGAGGCCAGTTGTGCCGGACCCCGCATTTCTCCCACAAGCACCGGAGTAGGGCCGACATGAAGTTGGACCCTTGGTCTGTTAAGACTTCCTTGGGGAACCCCACTCGGCTGAAAATGGTCAGCATCTGCCACAGTGTCCGCTTCGATGGACGATAAGGGCACTGCCTCGGGGCAGCGGGTGGCGAAATCTACCACCACCAGAATGTATTTCTTCCCTGACCAGGTCGTCTTGCTGAGAGGTCCCACTATGACCATAGCCACCTTCTGGAAAGGCTCCTCTATGATGGGCAAAGGCCTCAACGCTGCTTTCCCCTTGTCCCGGGCCTTCCCCACCCTCTGGCAGGGGTCACAGGATCGGCAGTACTGTTGGACGTTGGTAAAGACCCCAGGCCAGTAAAAGTTCTGTAGCAGGCTCTGCCTGGTGTGCCGGATTCCCTGGTGCCCTGCGAGAGGGATGTCATGGGCCAGGTACAGTAGCTTGTGGCAAAGCTTTTGGGGAACCACCAGCTGCCTCCTGATCCCCCACGACTCCACTTCCCTTGGGGGAGCCCATTCTCGGTACAGGAACCCCTTCTCCCACAGGAACCTCTCCTGGCAACCTCTCCCCATGGTCTGTACCACACTGAGGTCGGCCAGGTCCCTTATCTTCTGCAAGGAGGGATCTTTCACTCGATGTGGGGCCACCACCTCGGGCCGGGCCAGTGTCACCTCTGCGCTCGTATCCCAGTATCCATTGACCTTCCTTCCATCCACCTCCAGGGGAACAAGGTACTCTCTCCTGAGGGACAGCCGGGCACCCACCCTGTAAACCGAAAACCCTGAGTCTGGAGCATCCAGCCCCACACAGGAGCTGGCCTGGAGCTCTCCTCCCTCCTTAGCAGGTGGTACTCTGCCAGCCCCCCTTCCCTGGGAATGCTGCCTCTCGCCCGGCTGGGTCTCTACCCAGTCAACCCTCTATGGGTTCAGTCTGCTCAGTCTGTCCCTGAGCCTGGGGCACTGGGCCCGTATGTGGCCTCTCTGGCCACAGTGATAGCAGCCCATGTCCCATGGGTCCCCTCGAGCGGGTCGGATGGACCTGCAGCTGGATGTTCCCCTTTGGTGGGGGTTCTCCATATTTCCTCGCTGGGAGGTCCCATGGTGACTCTCTCTGTGTTGTGGCGGGCCTGTTCCTTTGGGACTCCTGTCACGGAGTCCCCGGGCGATGCTCTGGAACTGCTCCCCACAAAGCCAGTCATGACTCTGGGGAGCCTCCTCTCCCTCGGAGCAGACCGTCTTCAGGACAAGAAGCTCACACGGCTTCACCTCCTGGGTCTCTCCTGGGAACATTCAGCACATGCCCCTCCATGCGCTTTCCACAGCAAGTCCGCCCCGGCGGGGTCCTGGGGAAGCCAAAGGGTTCTGCACCCCCCACTTCATAGTCAGACGTGACTCTCAGCCAGCCAGTAAAACAGAGGTTTATTAGATGACAGGAACACGGTCTAAAACAGAGCTTGTAGGTACAGCGGCGAACGGGACCCCTCGGCCGGGTCCATTATGGGGTTCAGAGAGCCAGACACGCACGTCTGCCCTCACTCCTCGTCCCCAGCCAGCTCCAACTCTGAAAACCCCCTCCGGCCCCTCCTCCTCTGGGCTTTGTCTCTTTCCTGGGCCAGGAGGTCACCTGATCTCTTTGTTCACCTTTAGCTATTACCTTGCAGGGGGGAAGGGGCCAGAGTGTCAGTGATTTATGCGCACTGGCCTTTCTCCACCACCTAGAGACTTAAGAAATACATAGGGGAAACTGAGGCACCCACACAGTATTCAGAGGAAACATTAAGAACAGTCCCACTTCGTCACAACTCCTCCCGGTTATCCCCTGCCCGACTGTTCACAAACTCGTCAGCCAGCTGGCCTGCATGCTGCAGGTTCTCTGGCTTTTGGTCTATCAACCATCGCCTCAGGTCGGATGGGCACTGCTCATACACGTGCTCCAGTACGAATAGGTCAAGCAGGTCCTCTTTAGTTTGGGCCCCAGCTGTCCACTTGCAGGCATACCCCTGCGCCCGGTTGGCTAGTTGTAGGTATGTGACCTCACGGGTTTTACGCTGACTCCGGAACCTTTTCCGGTACATCTCAGGGGTCAGCCCGAACTCGCGGAGCAGGGCCTTTTTGAACAGTTCGTAGTCCCCTGTCTCCGCCCCTTTCAGTCGGCTGTACACCTCCCTGGCTGTGGAGTTCAGTGAGGGGATGAGAAACTGGAGCCTGTCTGCAGAGTCAACCTGGAGCAGCTCGCAGGTATTCTCAAAGGCCGTCAGGAAGGTATCCATGTCCTCCCCCTCCTTACGCTGGGCCAGCAAGCACTTATCAAAGCTCTTTGCAGTCTTGGGTCCCCCCTCGCTCACCGCAGCCGGGGCCCCACTGCTCCTCAGCCTGGCCAGTTCCAGCTCATGCTGACGTTGGTCCCGCTCATGCTGACGTTGTTTCTCCTCATGCTGATGCTGTTTCTCCTTCTCTTCCCACTCCTGCTTCAGTTCTTGCTGCCTTAACTCGAACTCTTTCAGTCTCAGCTCCCATTCATATTCCAGTCGCATCCGCTCCCGGGACGGGGAGCTCCGCCGGGACGATCCCCTGCTGGCCGTCGGGGTCAGGGTGCCCTCGGTATTCGCTGGGCTTCCCCCAACCCCTCCCCTAGGTATAGGTAGGCAGGGTCTCGGGATGTCCTCGGCAGCAGTCTGACCCCTCCCAGCCATGTCAGGCCCCGGGGCCCACGCTGCATCCGCCGGGCGGCTTCCCTCAGGGACAAGGCTCGGTTCATCCAAGCGACCCCTCTCCTCCAGCTGGGCAATGAGCTGTTCTTTGGTGGACCTCCCACTGCGCAGCCCCCTCTGCCTGCACAGCTCCGCCAGGTCGCTCTTAAGGCGTTTAGCATACATCCTCCTGCTGGCCACTCGCCGGCCTGTGCTCTCCGCTTTCCACCGTTCCCGGGGGACCCCTAGTGTGCCAGCCCGTCTTCAGGTCACCACCTCTCTGCCAGGGTCGAGCTGCAGACTCCTCCACCCCGGGACCCTGTTACTGCAAAAGTCCTTCTCACTGGTCACACACTCCCAGGGGTTAATCGCCCCCTGAAACCGTCTCTCTCTGACTCTTCAGCCCACCTGGTCCCCGTCGATCCCCCTTCGTTTTACTGCTCCCCAGTCACTTACTGCAGGAAGCGCCGTCCACGGGGTGCAGTAGATCCCACCCCTGCCACCAGTTGTCACGGAGTGTGGGGGACTCAGGGCCCTGTACCCCCGGCTTCCTGCGATTCACCGTGACTCTCAGCCAGCCAGTAAAGCGGAAGGTTTATTGGATAACAGGAACACAGTCTACAGCAGAGCTTGTCGATACAACCAGGACCCCTCAATCAAGTCCTTTTGGGGAGTGCAGGGAGCTTAGACCCCAGCTTGGGGTTCCCTGCGTTGCACCTCCCAGCCCCAAACTGAAAACTCCAGAATCCATCCAGCAGCTCTCTCTCCCCTCCCCTCTGCTCCTCCTCTCCTTTGTTCCAGAAGGTGTCACTTCTCCCACCCACCTCCTGCCTAAGGTTACAGCTCAGGTAGCTCAATGTAACTCCCAGGCTACATTTCCAGGTCAAATCCGCCCTGCTCCCTGCTCCATCACACGGGGACACCCCCCAGCTGTGGAATCCTCTCGGGGGGGTGGAGGGAGCGGTTAACACTGGGCCACTCACATCGCTGAGGAACCCCCCGTTGGGAACAATCCTGCCCTGGGATGGGCTGGCTGGGCCCAAGGGGGCTTTGCCGGCTCCAAGTGCTACAAGTCTTTAAAAAATACCCTTAACACCCCCCACCCCCCAATGTGCCTGGGCCTCGTGGACTCCTCTCGTAGGCTCTGACCCCTGACCTCAGGACTCCCCCGCTCCCCTGCTCTGTGCGCCCCAACAGTTCTCAGTTACCCCACTCCCCAGCTGGGTCTCCAGCCGCGTGAGCAGGGAGCTGGGCAGTGCCGAGAGCCGCTGTGTCCTCACTCACCTGTACAGGTAACGTTCTCTGTGATAGGGCGCCAGGCGCCCCGGCCCCACGCGTCCCGGTTCCATACAACCCAGTAACTCCGGGTCTGACCCGATCTCACACATCTGATCACAGAGGACGAAGGCTGGGACCCCCCAGGGCAGCTCAGCGTCGTCTCTTCATTCTGGCCATAAAACGGCCGATCTGGCGCAAACCGTAGTCTGGGGTCCCACTGTGGCCTGGGGCATTTCTCTGCAGAGGAAAGGGGGTTGGTGTGAGTGAGGGCTGGGGCAGCCCGGCTGGGGACATCTGAGGCTGGGGGATAATCACCCAGGGACGGGCTGGTGCCCCCTCGCCTGGGCCATTTAGACCGAGGGCTGGAGCACGAGGCCCGGCCTGTGGAGCCCGGGGCGGGGGGGTCTAACCAGGCTTTCCCGGCTCTCACTGGTCCCACCCGAGGGCTCACTTGCCCCTCATGGGGCAGGGCCATGAATGACGCAGACGCTGGTGGAAGCACCAGGGGTCTGAACACCCTGGAAGAGCCCGGCGGGGACGGGGGCTGACCCAGGCAGCTCATGGTGGGGGCGGTGAGGGCACAAGGCTGCTTTGGGAAGGTTTATGTCCCTGGGGCATCGCCCTCTGCCCAGCCTGGGGCTTCTCCTGCCTCAGGCACGTGCCCCCGCAGGGCGTGACCAGGGCCTGAGGGGTCAGGCAGGGCTCACGCCCACCCTGATGGCTGGGGACCTGAGATGGGAGCTGGCCCTGGGTGCTGCTCTCCTGAAAGCAGGGTAATGTCAGCGAGAGCAGAGACCTCCACCCCATCCAGCTCCCTGAGGCCCATGGGCCTCGCGCCTGCGCAGACGGGTCCTGGGTTCGAATCCCCCCAGCCCCTCCTGCAGCCCGTCTGTGCAGAACTCACCCACACAGCTCACACGGCTCATGTCCCACTCCACGCGCCCAGCCGTCTCCGTACACTGCACCCAAGCCGGGCTCCCCTCGTACTGCTCCGGGCGACAGGTCACCCAAACCCTCTTGCCAACGGCAAACTCTGTCTGTGCGGAGGCAGCAGAGACCGACGGGGGCCAGTTTCCTGCCGTCGTACAAACCCCTGGAGGGAAAGAAATGTCCAGTCTCTGCAGATCCCTCCCTTATGACGACTGCGTCCTCCCGTCCCAGCAGAGCGACCCGGACTGCGCCCTACTCTGGGAGGGGGGCCCCAATGCTGGTACCGCCCCCACCCCATAACGTTGTGAGAGGGGCCGTCAGCCCATCTGCCCAGGCCGGGCCCCACCCCCGTCACCTAAGGGGTTCTGACACGTGTTGGCCTGTGCACCTCATCCCACCATGTTTCCCCCTCCCCCCACGTTAGCCAATGTCCCTCCCCCACACCCCAGACCACGAACACCCCCCAACATGCCCATCTGGGTCCCCGTGCTGCACATATCACTATGGCAACTGAGCTCCTGCCCCAGTGTCCCCATAGCAGCTCAGTGTCTCCTGAGCCACCCACCTGCCCCTGGCACCCAGCCCCTGGCACCCCTGCCTGGGTAACATCTGCTCCCTCCTCTGTGCCCCAGACAGATCCCAGCCCCCTGAGATCCCTCCCCACAGCCCTCTGCCCGCTCCTGGCAGCTGCTCCCCAAGGACTCTCCCCCGTGAGCAGCCCCTCCCTTGGGCCGAGGAGCTGGGGTCACGGTCACACCAGGGCTGAATTCAGATTCTCCACTCTCTGAACCTCCCCCTGCAGCATCTCAGCCTCGTCTCCCATGTCCCGCCGGGCCCAGACTCTCGCTGCTTTGCTGCTGCCTCCTTTGCCCGAGCCTGCCATGCTCCCACCTGGGCCCACAGAGCCCGGCTGGGTCTGGCCGCTGTCCCTGCCTCCCTCCTCCACCACTGATCCCCCCTCAGACCCTGCGCTCACCCCTCGCTGGGTCTGGCCGCTCTCCCTGCCTCCCTCCTCCCCCACTCACCCCCCCGGACCCTGTGCTCACCCCTCGCTGGGTCTGGCCGATCTCCCTGCCTCCCTCCTCCGCCAGTGACCCCCCCGGACCCTGCGCTCA